CGTACGGGAAAATTCCATGGGCCTTTCATAAATTATGTAGGGACCAGGTAAGGCACCGTACAGGTGATATTTGCGTGGCCCTTTCATCTGGGGACCAGGTAAGGCACCGTACAGGTGATATTGGCGTGGCCCTTTCATCTAGGGACCAGGTTTAGGAACCATACAGGTAATATTTGCGTGGCCCTTTCTTCTGGGAACCAGGTAAGGCACCATACAGGTGATATTGGCGTGGCCCTTTCATCTGGGGAGCAGGTAAGGCACCGTACAGGTGATATTGGCGTGGCCCTTTCATCTGGGAACCAGGTAAGGCACCGTACAGGTAATATTTGTGTGGCCCTTCCATCTGGGGACTAGGTAAGACACCGTACAGGTGATATTGGCGTGGCCTTTTCATTTTTCAACCAAGTAAGGCACCGTACAGGTGATATTGGCGTGGCCCTTTCATCTAGGGACCAGGTAAGGCACCGTTTAGGTGATATTTGCGTGGCCCTTTCATCTGGGAACCAGGTAAGGCACCGTACAGGTGATATTGGCGTGGCCCTTTCATCTGGGGACCAGGTAAGGCACCGTACAGGTGATATTGGCGTGGCCCTTTCATCTGGGAACCAGGTAAGGCACCGTACAGGTGATATTGGCATGGCCCTTTTGTCTGGGGACCATATTAGGCACCGTACAGGTAATATTTGTGTGGCCCTTTTATTTGTGGACCAGGTAAGGCACCGTACAGGTGATATTGGCGTGGCCCTTTCATCTGGGAACCAGGTAAGGCACCATACAGGTGATATTGGCGTGGCCCTTTCATCTGGGGACCAGGTAAGGCACCATACAGCTAATATTTGCGTGGCCCTTTCATCTGTGGACCAGGTAAGGCACCATACAGGTAATATTTGCGTGGCCCTTTCATCTGGGAACCAGGTAAGGCACCGTACAGGTGATATTTGTGTGGCCCTTTCATCTTGGGACTAGGGAAGGCACTGTACAGGTGATATTGGCGTGGCCCTTTCATCTGGGAACCAGGTAAGGCACCGTACAGGTGATATTTGCGTGGCCCTTTCATCTGGGGACCAGGTAAGGCACCGTACAGGTGATATTTGCGTGGCCCTTTCATCTGGGAATCAGGTAAGGCACCATACAGGTGATATTGGCGTGGCCCTTTCATCTGGGGACTAGGTAAGGCACCGTACAGGTAATATTTGCGTGTCCCTTTCATCTGGGAACCAGGTAAGGCACCGTACAGGTGATATTGGCATGGTCCTTTCATCTGGGAACCAGGTAAGGCGCCGTACAGGTGATATTGGCATGGCCCTTTTGTCTGGGAACCAGGTAAGGCACAGTACAGGTAATATTTGTGTGGCCCTTTTATTTGTGGACCAGGTAAGGCACCGTACAGGTGATATTGGCGTGGCCCTTTCATCTGGGAACCAGGTAAGGCACAGTACAGGTGCTATTTGCGTGGCCCTTTCATCTGGGAACCAGGTAAGGCACCGTACAGGTGATATTTGCGTGGCCCTTTCATCTGGGGAGCAGGTAAGGCACCGTACAGTTAATATTTGCGTGGCCCTTTCATCTGTGGACCAGGTAAGGCACCATACAGGTAATATTTGTGTGGCCCTTTCATCTGGGAACCAGGTAAGGCACCGTACAGGTGATATTTGTGTGGCCCTTTCATCTTGGGACTAGGGAAGGCACTGTACAGGTGATATTGGCATGGCCCTTTCATCTGGGAACCAGGTAAGGCACCGTACAGGTGATATTGGCATGGCCCTTTTGTCTGGAGACCATATAAGGCACCGTACAGGTGATATTTGCGTGGCCCTTTCATCTGGGAATCAGGTAAGGCACCATACAGGTGATATTGGCGTGGCCCTTTCATCTGGGGACTAGGTACGGCACCGTTCAGGTGATATTGGCATGGCCCTTTCATTTGTGGACCAGGTAAGGCACCCTACAGGTGATATTGGCGTGGCCCTTTCATCTGGGGACCAGGTAAGGCACAGTACAGGTAATATTTGTGTGGCCCTTCCATCTGGGGACTAGGTAAGACACCGTACAGGTGATATTGGCGTGGCCTTTTCATTTTTCAACCAAGTAAGGCACCGTACAGGTGATATTGACGTGGGTCTTTCATCTGAGGAGCAGGTAAGGCACCATATTATTTATAATTTGTGTGGCCCTTTTATGTAGAAACTAGTTAAGGTACTTGAAAAGAATATTTGTGTGATTCTTAGGGACCTTTGATTATTTGGTTCTTTGGCCCTTTGGAGGACTAGAAGCTGTCTAGAATGGTTCGAAGTACCGACTTTAACAGTGTTAGGGTTAGTTTATAGCAACAACATGAATGGTGAAGTCTGTTAGGATTTTACTCCAAAAGTAGAATAACTGGAAGTGGATTCTAGTAACAAAATGTAGAGCTAAGTACCGGTATGTGCTTTCTTGATTATTTTGGTCCATTTATATTGTTCTGAGGGACATGTGTAAGAATCAGTTTCTAAAACCTGTAAGAATCAGTTTCTAAAACCTCTTATAGAATATTCTAATAGTGACTTGTATGTACGTATGTAGAGTACATTCTGTTGTTTTGAATTTAATTCTGTAAGACTACTATATATACATGTACCTTATATGTGTACATTCTTCGCTCAATGCATTTATTGAAGTCAAACTACACCTACTAGTGTTCGTTTTCAATTGTATTTCTTGTACATTGTCTTTGAAGTCAGGAACAAATATGCAAATAGGCCCTTAATATGCCTCTGACTATGACTGACACAAAAACTCTTGAGCTGCTGAATGAGCATGACTGCATGGTTGTTTGGGTACGATTACATACGTACTAGAAGAATGTGAATTAAAACTTCCCCGGGACGAAATTTAGATTTTGACAAACCTTAGTAAAACTAGTTTCAAATTAAAATTCTGACAAAACATCTCGAGATGTTTTGAAAAAATCTGTAGATGTTTTGAAAAAATCTGTAGATGTTTTGAAAAAATCTCGAAATTTTTTGAAAACATCTGGAGATTTTTTCAAACATCTCCAGATTTCACATTATATACATGCTACATGTAGAAATAGCATTCGGGTATGTGTTTGATACTTAATTCGGGGCATTTTAGAAAGGAACAAAGGGCTTTCGGAACATAAAGATTTCGGAACATAACGCGAGCTTAAAACGTACCGGCCGCGGGTTCCGTATCTCGTCTAAAACTGCACAGATTTCTTTAAGATTCGGCTGATATGTTCATTGAAGCTTGCAAAGTTACTGTATGAGTTCCCGTGCTGATGTCGTAATTAGTCATTGAGTTATTTTCAATCAAAATTTGCTTCATTCAAACATCTGTCACAGCCTTTAAAATATACCTTTACTTTTCTTCAAAACGATTCGGTATAACCATTGTAAAAGGAAGTGGTGATACCACTGAAAGGTATCAGACCTATGTAGAGGATTATGTCTATTTCATAATGCAAATCACTAACTCTACCTTATTATTGCAATACCGCACATTTCAGTGGGGTTTGGGACACATGCCCAAAAAATGAAGCCAAATGACTGACCTGTATCTACCAAAAGGAATGGAAGAAGAGTAGATTTGTTAACAACACACAACGATCAGTATTTCAGGATACTAATGTCGAAGTTTCATCCTAAAATATCATTTCATTCTCGATTTAGAAAGTAAAACTCAATTTTGAACGATGCGGTCAAAATCGAGCTAGAATTGTCTTTGCGAAACATAGCGGTTTGAAGACGGTTTCGCATCGCGGGAGCTTGAAACGTGTTGGTTTCCGTATCTCGCTTAAACCTACACGGATTTCTTTCAAATTTGGCTGGTATATTCATAAAAGCTTATAAAGTTACGGTATGAATTTTCATGCTGATTTCATGATTAGTCATTGAGTTATTTTCAATTGAAATTTCTTCATGAAAGCATACATGTAGATCTCTCACAACTCTTCAAAATAAAGGTTTACTTTCCTCCGAAACGATTAAGTGCAACCATAGAAAAAGGAAGTGGTGATACCACTGAAAGGTACTCAACAGACGTGTATAAAAGATTATGTCTATTTCATAGTGTAAATCCCTAACTCTGCCTTATCGTTGCAATACCGCACATTCCAATGGAATTTTTGGGCATGGCCGAAAAATGGGGCCCAATGAATTGCTTGTAGCTTTACGAGAATTCATCAAAGACCAAATCTGTTCACAGCAGAGATAGACCA